TTTTTTTTTTGCACTATTGATTAAATATTTATTTGAAAAACCCAAAGTAATCAGAGTTCCTTTATTTAAAATATAAATTGTTGTTTAACTTAAATATTGTTGTTGTGTGAAGAGCCATCGCCAACGTCCATACCACGTTGAATACACCAGTTCTCGTCCGATCACTGAAGTTAAGCAACGTCGGGCGTAGTTAGTACTTGGATGGGTGACCGCTTGGGAACACTACGTGCCGTTGGCTTTTTTTGCTTTTTAATAAAAAAAGTTTCATAATTTTAAATAGATATTTATTATTTATAATTGTAATTTAGAGAACTAGTTTTTACTAAAAAAAAGGGGGTGAATGTGCCACGGGGCACATCATTTCTAAATACTGCACTGCTGAAAGGTGAGCATTAAATAGACAACTGGTTCAACCTAATTAAAAAAATTAAATAAACCAAGATACCTACATTTATTTCTATTTTTTTACTCGACTACCGAATTACTTAGTTATTACTTAATTTATTAACTCAATGACTTGACCACTTAAATAATCAATTATAACAACTTAGCTTTTTTCAGTTGATTAGTCTAGTTGTTCATACATATCTCATTAAAACAAAATAGTCATTTTTTTTTTTATTTAATCATTACTAGTTTGAATAATGATTTGGAGAATATGTAGGTAAATAAAAATGCTTGGTTTTAATTAATTAATTAGTTGACAAAAGTGTAGGTGATTGAGTCATTCACTACAGCCAGAGTGAGATGCTTTTTTAACATATATATTATATTATTTAAAAAAAAAATTAAGTTGCACAATCACTATATTATGTACCTATTATGTATAAGTAAGCGATCCGTTTGGTAATTAAAAAAAAATTGAGTTAACTTCTTTTTAACTGAGTTAAGTTAATATTTTTCTAATTTATATTATATCATATATTAGATGTATAACGCGTACATCTAAGTGCAAGTTATTATCGTTAACTTGACCTGACTGACTCAAGATATTATTTTTCATTAAATACCAACCTTCGAGTAATTAACTGTATTAAATAATAAATCATATTCAATCATATTTTTAACTACGAATAGTTGGTTATATAATATACTGCAAATGATTTGAATTTTGAATTAGATTCCTAAAAACTAAGTAACATAAAAAAAAAAAAATGAATGAATTGAATGTATATTTTATTTAAAAATGCATTTCGATATTCATACAAGTATGTATACTTAAATAATCAAAACAGTGTAAGACTTATAATAAAAAATCATACTTCACACTCGAATGATTAAAAATGAATTTGGTCATAACAAATAATGATCAATGGTCATAAAGGCAATACACCTAAATTGAAGATTTATATTATTACTTTCTAAACATTTTAAATGCTTTAAATATTTAATTATTTTTAGACAGTATTTCAAGTTTGGAAACTTTTCCAATTTCTTTTATAGCACAATGGGCATTTCAGAGTGCAGGAAACTATATTTATTTTAGTATAATGTCTTTGTTTTCGGTTAACACATTTTTGAGCATTATTAATAAATGTAATTCAAATAATACTTATAAAACGTACAGCGCACACGAAGTTGGATCAATATTTCTCTTCAGATTTTATACGATTGAAAATTTTGTATAAATTCTCATAATATTAATAATATACATAATACGTATACAAAAATTGATTCAAATCTTAGTTTCAAAAAAACCAATAAAAGCGTTTAAGTATACAAAAATTATAAATTAGATGTAAGAATTATAATTCCAACTATCACTTAAAGTACAAAGAACATTAATTATTGATGTCTATTTAGTATTTAAGTATTATCATCTATAGTTTCGAATAATTGTTTTTAATGTAAATTATAAGTAATTTAAAACTTACGTAGTTAACTTACTTATACGATATAATATATTTCGATATAATATATTTTAATGAACCTCGTCAATGAGTGTGTCATTGTTACGTATAGATAGACGTTAAATTTGAGTTAAATGATATATCAACAAAGGATAATATTCAAGCAGTATTTCTAGATAGGTTATAGAGTGTATTACCTATGACTTTGTACTTACTTTATTAGTAATTTATTACCATATGTGTTGAGTATATAAATTTAAGAAAACTTAGAGAGTGAAATAATTTTATGTAGGCATGTAGCCATGTAGGTATACTAAACTATATTGTGAATCATTGACAATTCGAAATTCCGACGATTATTTATTTCTGAATTACAGTGGTAAAATAAAATAATTTTTTTGAAAATTGGTTTTTAGTAAAATATTCACATTTTCCAGCTGTTTTTTGCTAGTTTTACTCAATTTGTTATATAGATAAGTAACTTCAAAAATGAAGATTAAGGCAAATATTCTGCTCCAAACATGATGATTAACACAAAAAACACCATACATCCTTCCGATCAGAACCTAAAATATTTCATAGTAAATTAATATTGTATACAAAAACAACACCATGATTACTACCTCCTATTCATATATCATTTATCCTTCTGTTTATTTAATTTAAAGGCTTTATTTATTGCGTATGGTTATTAAGGAAACTGGTCTTACTTATGCGTGAAGATTTTTGTCATATTATAACTTTGCAAAATAAAAAGTTATTGCTTCACGATAATTAATTCTGATGGGCGTTACAACTAGGTTGATTGTATTTTCTCGAGTGAAAAATGAGTATTCTTTTTTTTATACCTCAAACTTTTAGTTCTTAAGTTGCAATTTGGCTAATAATCGTGTGAAAAAATCATATTAGTCACAAGTTTTGTTCCTAATTCCATAGATCACCAGAACGGTTCACATCATTTGTCACCATTAAGGTACTCATTCAGCCAAACACAGCCAAACAGCCAAACGTTGAAATAACGTTTTAGATTATCACAGTGGATGGAAATGTTACAACCAGACGTATTGTGACCTGAGCTGTTGGAATACTTATGCCAATGGTAGACAATGGTATTTTTGCAACTTTTATGCCATAAGATAATCATATCTATGCATATAAAATACAAATACCACTTAGTCACTGATCGCTGCAACTCAAAAACTACGCAACGTACGAACTTGAAATTTGGAATAGAGCTTCTTCTCATATTTTCAAAGTGCCCAAAGAAGGGATTTTCAAAAATGATGCGTTTTAGTGGAGTAATGAACAATTAAAATTATTCATTTCCAAAATTCGTATTGTGCTGCACGGCACGGGCTCATGGCGGCCCGCGGGTTTCCAGCTACCTGCAACCTATCCTTTTTGTCCGTCGTGTAGATACGAATTGTTCCGAGAAGTTATAGAGATATATGAAAAAAACAAAACGACACACGGGCGACGTCGGGTATTTCAGCTACTGTGTTTATAATTAGAACGTTATAATACACAGTAGTTAATAGCTTTCTACGCCTTTCATTCAATTTTATGAAAACCATTAACTAAAACCATACGGATACGAGTAATTCGAAATGAAAAACATTTAAACATCAATAAATTCATTCGAAAAAAAAATTACTGCACTATGAAATAAATCAACATTTCTATACTTTCTATATTGCACTGCCTGCACATAAGCTTCTGAAAATGATTGACACTCTTATAACTCAACATTTTAGATGGTTCAGATCGATATACGCAAGAGTGTAAAACCTAATTTCTGCTTTATCATAATTCTAATCAAAAATGAAATTAGATCATTTCTAATAGGTACTGTATAAACTTAATTTTTCTAAAATACAGAAATATTATATCATACAAATAATGTATACTCGTGTGCATTTCACTTTCAATTTGATTACAATTATATTATTGATAACGTCTTTTAAATGTTAAATGTGTACATAAATAAGAATTTATTTATATTTTATACTAATTTTAAATGATATTAATTTTACTAAAAAAAACCTGATCAAGTGAGTATCGATCTGGTGTACAAAAGTGCAAAAGGTATCTAGAGGGGTCACAGTTACGGGTGAATCAAATTTGATTTCAATGATATAAATTCGTTGTATACGAAAAACAATTTCATTCTTAGCGAAGACCATCTGTCAGAATATTATAATATAACTTAGTATATTTTATGATGATTTATTTGGCTATTGAACATAAGCATACAATATAGATTGGATTAATTGTTGGCAAAGAAATTGGGTTTAAAAATGTTATTGTGTGTATGCAATATAATAATATTCTTGAAGAGTTTCAAGTGCTAACGAATAATATTATATTTAAAATACAACAAAATAAATAACATCAATATTCTTTGTTTAAATATCTAATAGAAACGTAGTTTTAAATTTTTAAACTTAAGCTCAATAAATTTAATATTTTATACATTTTAATCTATGAAATAATTTTACAAATTTTCTAGATATTTTTTGAAGTCTGTCAACATTTTAACTTTAAATGCGTATAAAAAAAGCATATGTATATAATATTATTTTCCAACTGTTATTATAACTACTTATGACGAATCTTGTATTAAATTTAAAATCTTATAAAAAGATATCAATAGAACATTTTTATTTTCAATTCTAAAAAAATAATTGTAATATCTTTATTACCATAACTAAACAACTCAAACCGATTTTAAATATTTTGAAAATCGTATCATCTTTAGAAAATAATAAAATAAAAAGTTGATGAAAATTTCGCATCTACAGTCATTCGTTTTCAATTACAAAAAATATGAAAAACGATCGATGAGAATTCGTTAATTTACGGGTGAATATGTTACATCGAAAAGTAGCTTCAAAGGAACACTCATAAAAAATTGACTTAATTTTCCAGTAATCTTTTTTTTTTTATTAACTGTATGAAGACTTATGGAGAATTTTATATTGAATTTTCAAATTTTGGAATAAAAATGTTTACGATTTTCTAAGTCAAAATAATTTACAAATGTTCTTGATTTTGACAAGTTTTATCGAAATCTTACATTTAACAACTACATTTTTGTACAATTTTTGTTTATTTTATTAGTATAAATCATTGTATTTACGTATTGTGTCTGTTAGAAAATAATAAATAATTTTCTGTAATAGGAATGTTTTTCGAAAATGTATTGAAATTATTCATAATATCTAGATCGACATTTCCCCTTAAAACGGGTAAAATGAAATAAAATATTTATATCACTTTAACTGAAACGACATTTCAGTAGATTGCGTGAGCTTGTACGACTATTGTTTAATTTATAAATTCAAAAGTAGTTTAATAAACTCTGTAATATCATACTAGAATACAGCTTTAGACTTTTGTTCGAAATAACTTTTCAGTAATATAAAGAAAATATATCTGAACTGGAAACGTCCATTTCAAGAGTCGCTTTTTAACAATTAACATATTGATGTTATCAAAAATGTAGATTCACTTGCATGTGACTTCAATAAGGTATATAATAATAGGATGGTTACTCGATCATCTTACTTCGTATTTGGAATTCCAATCGGTTGTCCCTCAAAAAAATCTCATTGGATTATTGTTAAAAAGATTAAAAATAATAATTGGTTTAATAATTAAAATGATTATTTAATTCAGTTCAACGTAAAGAAGAGCAATAAGAAATTGAATTACAAATTTAAATGCATGTTTCTACTTTAACTTAAATCAATAATTAAACATTGCAATTTTGACTTAAATCATTAGTCATTAAGATTCCAAAACCTGGAATCGTTAGATTATTTAAATGTATTTTGTAGGTCAGCATTAGCCTGGTTGGTAATTAAAACGTTAAGTTAATTTATTCATTTATTTTATAGTTAAGTTGTATGAACTTAGTCATACACAATCAGTTTAGTGATTTAAAATATAAAAAAGGGACAAAATACCTATATTGTAGGTATACAATTTATGACAAATTTAAAAAGCTATACGTACTAAACGTGAGGAATAGAGGTAAAAATGTAAAATCTGAGTATAGATCATCAATTTGGTTTGACCTGCAAACGACAAAAATAAAATTTAACAAATCAGCAATAGCGAAAATTTTTTTAAGATTTCAATTTTTGATTTTGTAATTTCATATTTGATTGTTATCCATAAATTACGGTACTTAACACAATATACGTAATGTATATTTTGCTGATAAAATCTAAGTACTTATTGTTACAGAATTATAGATGAAACTAGTTTTCATCACTCAGCGTCTATACAATTCTATAAAAACTGATTTTGTTACTAAAAGACGGGTAAAAAAAAAGTTTACTAATTTCTAAAGATAAAATTTTAGTGAATTAACTAAAAATAATTTAAGTGTTATTTTTTAAATATTAGCATAATAATGTTTTCCCTAATTGTATAACTCGTTAATACACTTGGAATAGAATTATTATGCATTTGCTTCACTCAAAATTCTAAAAATATATTGCTCACGCAAAATAGTGATGCTCTTATATTTACGCTTCGTTGCTATATCATACCGAGACAGCGTTTGGCTGTCTGAGTGAACAAACAATACAAAGGACAAACACACTAGAAAATTATATGCGCTCATGTATATAAATCCTATAAAAATGCAAAATATGTTTGTTCATTCAGAATGCACTATGATTATAATCTACATGTATTTTTGTTTTCTGTCACTAAGAAGGATCGTTTAATACTACTTTTTAGAGACAAAAACTTTTGTATAATAATATTGATAATAATCATTTTTTTTTTTTGAGTGTGCTCTACTGCTCTCAATATATCCGCTCCAAAATATATACATAGGCACATTAATGGAAACACAAATATAAAACAGGCGTATCTTCTTCAAACTTCATATATTCTGTACACGGTTTGCGTTGACATGGCAGTCGTAAAAAGCCAACAGTCAAGTTCAGATCGTGACCTCTAACACCTACATAATAGTTAGACAGTAAAAATTATCCAAATAGACCCTACATGTACGTTAAATTTTCATTACAATATAATTACTTCTATTACCGAATAAACGAGTCAAATGTACCTATAATAGAATATTTTTGTAATACTTATAATCATAATTGTATCATAATTTATTATACATGTAAGGCGTATTATTACTCATAGATACTAATAATGTTCAGCCAGCAAAAATCAATAAAATGTTCGTAATAACTCTTACTATTTTATTCGTCGATTAAAATCGTCATAAGATAAAAGCTATATTACGACTTTAAATTATAAACTAAAAGGCCTTTGTATACTGTACTAAATACATACGATAAATATTATCTATATATACTTGCAGACAAATGACCAAAATATGAATTGGTAATTGACCACAAATTAAAAATAAAAATGTATTAAACATTAATTTATAGTTCTTAATTTATTAAATTCCTAACAAAATGTAGTATGCTAAATGTGAATACATATTTTTCCACTGCACTATATCCAGTATTATGTTGTATATTAAATTAAACCATTTTTAGTTTTAATAAAAAGAGGAAAAAAATATTTATGATTGTATAGTTATTATTATTATTATTTTTTTTTTTTAACAGGCAATCTGTTATAATAGTTGAACAATAAGCTTAATTTATAATAATATTACTACACACAGGGAACACAGAGTGAAGAGGTCTCCCAGTGGTGGTACTTCATCAATATAGATAGTTATAGCTAACTTATATGCACTTACACTAACATTTTTTTTTTTTACATAGTTTTGCATAGCAGTCAACTTTTCCATTTTTTTATACACATTTGAAAAAAAAACCAAAGAGCAAGTCCACCGTTAATCAATCCATAGAGTAGAAACTGAAAAATAAAATGTTATACCTATTAATTACAATATGCAACATAATTTTAATAATATAATAAATAATTCATAATAACATTACAAATTATAATATATTTGCCATATTCGTAGAAATAATATTAATACTAAAAGAATGCCAACTATTAACACTTATAGAAAACGCGAAAAAGCAATTTAAAATATAATAATAATATTGATAATTTACCTACCCAATTAAAAAATTATTATTTGGTGTAATATGAGAACAAAAAATTGTATAGTGTTTTTATGCATTAAATACATTTGGTACATAGATTAACGTGAAATGTTTATTATATAAATTTATTTATTTAAATATGTTTGAAAGAAAAAAGTCCAACATTTGGTTAAAGATTTTTAAAAATATTATACGTTTTGATGATTAAAATTATAGTATAGACCAAAAAATTATAGTATATTATAATTCTAGAATTGATTCTCTTTAAAAACTTCAGATGTGTGATCTCGGTATAAATTTATGTTTATAGAAATGAATTACCTTTAAGACCTTTATAATACAGCTTATTTATATGGGCTGATGGCTACTACTGACTAGTGGTTTTGACTTTGTAGATATCTTTAAATTATATTATGGATTCATTAATCTTTGTAGTCAAACGGAATATCATTTATTGACATTGTAGATCGATTAAAATTACCTGTACGTTTACTGGAATCGCAATCAAAGTATCTTGAACAAATAAATATGTGAAGACACTTGACATAAATAATGAAATAAAAAATACGACACCAAAAATGAAAGCGAAACTGTCATGCTTTAAATGTTTAGCTGTTTCGGACCTAAAGAACACAAAAATCGATAAGTTCAAAATACCATATTAAATAAATGTAAATCGTTACTTAATTTAATAGTACCTGGCCACAACATTCATCGATTGAAATACGAAACAGAACATAATGTACATTATGTATACCAAATTTAATGATGTTGTCACGTAGCAGACACACAGAGTAACGCAGCTCAAAAGTGAGCCGACAAAGAGGAATAAATCACTTCTGGATTTCCAATCAACCTTCAGGAACCCTATTAAGTATGATGACAATGCTCCTGAAATAACATAAAAACAATAGATCAATACAATCATAGACGATATATTTTTTTATTATTTTGAGTTCATAATTTTTTACTTAACTTGATAAATACTTTTATTGAATTGTTCGTCACTTATTACTAAAATTATTCAGTACTTAAGAAAATGCAACTATTGTATGCTATAATATGAAACAACCTCTGATATTTTATCACATTATTATTTTTAAGTCGATAATTATATATTTGATTCACAGAAAAATATTTTGATATGATTATACTAAGCATTTTATACATAAAAATTACTATTTTAATAAATATTATAAGCGATAAATAATGATATAATTTAACTATATTTAAACTTATTATCAGTTGGATATTTGTGAAAAATCATTGCAAGCACATGAGCCACAACAATTACTTTCAATATTTGAAAGAACTATTTTAAATTGTTTGATAATAATAATCTAATTAAAAAATAGATGAGACATTTACAATAACTATTCAACTTCATATTAAACTATTTTCAAATATTTTTTATCTACGTAGGTATTCAAGTACAGCAGCCTAAAATCAATAATTCTGAACATCAACAGTAAACTTGTTCTTATATTTTATTATATACGAGTAAGTACATAATACATACATATTACATATATGAATAATAAATATATGCACATACATAAACTTGTGATTTAATATATTTGTATACAAAATCTTCATTTTCCATAACTAAAAATAAAATGTTTCTTGAGATTTTGCATTTTTATGTATCATTTTTTTACTGTGTCATTTTTGTGAGATTATTTATTAATTTCTAGTGAATTTAATGGTCTGACATATTAAGAGTATAGCATTAAATATTACATTATAAATTAAATACATTTTTTTTCCAAGTGATCTTTGTTCACAACTTCATAACATTATATCAATATCTATATTCATATTATATATATAAATGAATGTTTATATGTATGTCTCCTATACCTCCCTAAATCGTTCGTCCGATTGCGATTAATGTTTGGGAAGTTGTTGAGTACACTTCCTCAAATTTTTCTGGCATACTAAATTCAATCTCTAAATTGAAAATAGGGTGTTGTAATATATTATAAAATATAAGTTTCTTTTTTGTATGTACTCGCATATCTCGAAAAATACCCTATGGATTTTTATACGGGTTTCACTAATATAACGGTTAGGTCAGGACATGTAATTTGTCTTGTAAAAATTAATTGGTTGGTTGAAAATCTATATCTATATTAATACGAAATTTCCTTTTTTTGTTCGGGATAAACTCCGAAACGGATTGGCCTAATGTTGGATTTGGCTTATTCTTTTTTTTTGCGTGCTCATAATTGTTAACTCAGAGTTCATATAGAAGACAATTTTAGGAAAAGTAGGAAATCTGGATGAAATAAATATAACAGTAGCACCATATCTGTCCAGTGAAATTCCCAATATACCTTCTTGCCACCATGTAAGTGTGCACTATAAATGCATTCAAGATGATCGATGAAATCTTTGAAGTCTTGAACACCGTTACACTGAATAGTGAAGAATAAATTGAACAAAGTATAAATCATAATATTGAGTTATCATTTTTTCAAAAATTCTTGGTACGGGCAACGCCGATCGGGACAACTAATTAATTATAAATATGACATTTATTAAGCACAATAATTATTACATTGGTTTATATTTCTGTAGATGAAAAATATTTTTTTTAGTAAGTTATTACATACTTATTGCGTTACTTTCGTTAAAATGGTTCGGTAAAATCAATTTCATAAAAATAAAAATGAATAATTTATCGAGCTATAAATTATAATTGTAAATTGTAATGCATTTCCGTAACTCCCCCCCTAGTATGAGCTAGTTTATAAACATATAATGGTTTCAATTTGCCCCATATTAAAAATTAACTTACCTAATCAGATGGATACATCGATCGAAGAGTCTATGCACATACCAGTATTGTAATTTATAATAATTGATGTCAGGCACCTAATTTAATTTTGACGGTCGGTGATGATGGTCGGGGGTGGAGGAGTGAATTGAATTATGTTTCTTTTAAAATTCCTCCCTTGGCTTCCAAATATGATATTAAGCAAGTACCTTGTATTTCTTTTATTATATTTTAAATAAAAGTTTTCTGTGGTCTGTCAAAATTACAACCATGGGGCACGAACAAAAAGAAATCACTTAATTTCCGATCAGAATATCAAAACGAAAATGAAAGTCTACAAATGTTATTCCTTGCTTAAATTTTAAATCTTATTACCTAACTTAATACCAGCAGTTATGTCTATAGCAAATAATATTGTAATGTGATAGTAATGTGACAACAATTTGTAAATTTGACGCTATCATTTTGGCATCAACATTTTATTAAAAACCTAAAATTACTTGTCAGATTATCTCAGTTAAACATTAACTACAGTCAGCAACGTAATTATGCGTAAACCGTGTAAAATTTAATTTACCTGTTATGAAAGCCAAAGCGTCAACTCCGCCGTTGTACAACTTGTTGTTGACCTGATCGAGTTCGTTCAATTCCAAGTAAAGGACGTCGTTGTACGTCAACACCTGTAAATCTGCCGAAATGTCAAATCATATTATAGTTCATGTAACAGCATGCCTTGCTGATTAAAAAAAAAAACAAAATTGAACTTATGATGATGACGTGTAGTGCCGAATGTAAGTTGATGATAATAAATTATGATCATGTACAATTTTTCATGGGATATACTTTCGTTATAGAATTTTGGGGTAAGTATAACCTACTAATTTAATGAAAATTATTGTTATCGAGTAAATAATAATAAAAAAAAAACGATAATTCTCTTTAATACTTTCATTATAATATTTTTTCACATACGACAAGTTATTTTTAAAAAGAATAAGACTATTTTCAATCCGGTAAGTAACATAGGGTTATTAAAAAGATAGCTTTTTCAACCAAATACTATAGTTTAACATTCATTTTATTTCAGACTATTTACTTTTAATGTAGTGGACAAACACAGCGAACAGCGATGTACCTATGTTTTTTCTTTGTATCACAATTCACATAAAATTACTTTAACCTAAGTAATAGTAATAAACATAATAATATTATATGGTATGTATCATAAAATATCACCTTTAGATGCTGATATGATCGCCTCATTCACTGAAATGTCAGAACCGATTTTCTTACGTAATGGTTTATTAATTATTTAACAGATTCAACACCTCTGTTATACTCAACGACGAAGGATCAATTAAAAAGCAGAAAGACTTAACGGGTTTGTTTTACACGAACAATATTAATAGTTATGATTATGGACTATTTATTATTATTGATAGAGGACACAATGTATTGTATGCCTACTGAAATGTAACTTTAAACATTTTATATACCCCGTCCTCAACTATTTTATACGCTTTTGGGGGTCGAAACTTTTAACAAAAGAAAATGTATATGTACCCACTCAAGTACCAAATAGTACCTACCTGTGTTGAATTGCGTATAATTTTAAATCACCTGGAAATAGACTCCGGTGGCGAAGGCGAACCATATGCCGTATTTGAGAAGATACGGATTGGTGTACGCGTCCTTCAATTCTGCGTACAGCTGATCAAATACTACTCGAACGGGCTTTGGAGATTTTTCAACGAAACACGATCCAAGGTCCTGTGCCAAAGACAAATATAATTATCGTATTGATATCATCAAACAAGTAGATAAGTACGCGTCTAATGTCAGGTTAAAAGCAGCCATGTTGCTATAACCAGGTAAGAACACAAATAAGAAAATATCAATCGTTTTCAAAATTAGAAATGACAATTCATCAACACTCACGGTCTATATTCTTCGTTATATTTTCTTTGTAGTCCTAACACAAACACGGATTGAAAATCTCGCTTGTGGTGGGCAATTTAATTAATAAATGTCAAAACTACAACTATGGGATGAAAGCTTTTTGAAAATAATTACTATCATCGACAAGCAGTCTTTTGTTTCCTGGTAAAGTTTTAATTGACGGATTACTCGTTGCAAAATAAACTGAAGAAACGATGGAAAATTACTTTTTTTTCCCGATTTTGATTTTCTTTAGAGTAAACCTTTAAACAATCACCATGAGGTATTATCGTAATATTAATTTTACGAATACAACTCTAAAAAATAATTCAATAATATATGTTATACCAATAATTGTAAAATGAAATTAATACCTGGACGAGAAAACAATAAAAGTATAAAAATATTAAAATATTACTACCTAATTTGAAACCAACGGAAATTCTAAAGATTTTTTCAAATCATAGTCTGTGTTTGGTAATTAGCTGAAGTTATACAATTATTTGCGGAATTGTTTGAAATTATGTTGACACGAAATGACAGAATATCTTGTAAACATTTGGTTTTCAATATTTTTTTTTTTGCATAATATTTAAAAAAATATTCATACATATTTATACCTAATCATACTAAGTTCAAAATGTGAATTTTATATTGAATACAAATACATAAGTACTATGTTGGTACCTATCATTTTTTTAATAATACTGAACTTTTATAAAATGTAAATATTTTATTGTTTTATATTTTGAACTTGCGTACTTATGTAGGTCTTAAATAATAATTTAAAATTGAGAAGCAAATTACATGTCTGCTAAATTATAGGTATATAGTATAGGTATATATTATATTATAGATATGTTATCGACTAATAAACTATGTCCTAGAATATTTATAAAATATCAAATTTACACCAAGCTCAAATAAAATCATTTTTTTTTTTGTTGCGACCAATTCAATTAAAATTATCTTGTTTTGTTTAAGCATATATAGTGGTAGTATGGTATCTATGCACATTAAGTAGCATTTGATTTTCCGATTTTATTCATTGCATGCAGATACATGTTTAGATGGAATCTCAGTATCTCACTCTATGGCTTATGTTGGCGTTTAAGGTTGTCCAGTGAAAGTTTTATCGCATTTTGTTTCGATAAGGACCCGGCCGTTGACAAATTTATGAATAGGGGTGATGAGCTAAACAGCTAAACATCCGCATGGATGGGTTTATGGTTAAATCGATTTATTTTTGCCAAACATTGTGATTTGTTTTATTTTTGTATTTTGTACCTAGGTACTGTAATGAAAACGATTGTATACCTACTATTAAATGATATTTTAAGCTTTTGTTATTATTTTCTTCTGTTTTCATAAGAACTATTATTAATTGTGCTGTTACCCAGTTGATTAAAATGCACCTTAACATATTATATGTTGAAGAACAACTCATGCCTAATTTAAAATACTACTTATATTAGAGTACAACTTAAGTATTGATTTAGAAAGCGTTAGGTTAGGAAAATAAAATATTGAGGCAACTATTTAGTTTTAAAAATAAAATATGTCACTAACCTATGGAATGGTGGCAAAACTATTCAGAAGAAAACAACTAACTACCGATACATTATTTTTCCACTTATAAAAACATTCATACCGATACCATTAACTGTTTGTAAGCACACAATAATACCGATACATTATTATACTGATAAAATGTTATTCATTTTAAACCATGAAATATGAATACTCGTTATTGATATTTAAGTTCTCTTCCAATAATGTTAATCGAGTATTACAATTCGAAAAATATAAAAACAATTATTTCAATTTAGCTCAATACTATGGGTAAATAATCGACTTTATTACTCATACACGATTATATATTGCCATCTTGTGGCAGTGTAAAATGATCTGAAGCCTTAGTTGTACAGTTCGACGCTAGAGTGCACTTTAAGTACTAAAATTAGATGTTTAATATCATTATATCAGATGTGTTTAAGAGTTGTAACTTTTAACTGACCTTTAAGTGTATTAAATAACGATACTTTAATAATACAATTATAACAAAAGTTTTGCAGAGAACTGCATCAAGCATGCTCACCCATTTTTTCTTTAATTATGCGGCTATTAAAAACCATGTTTTTAAAATTTGTAAATAAACTTAAGAATAATATTTTCAAACTCCGGAGATGTTTGTGCTACTTAAGCAGTATCATGTGTATATACAAACTTCTGGTTTTCAATAAGAACTCCCATTTTATACTGTAAATTAAACCATTCTTTAAGTAGTACAAAACAATTTGAGAATTTAAAAATATGGTCTATATTAAAAACGGCAAAAGACAGAATTTCAATATATTTATTATTTAAATAAAAAATGGGGGTGGTGTTCTCAGTGGATTACACAGTGGATTATAATATGAAAGCATTTCACCAAATACCTACTCGTAAATGTATTTATAATATTAAATCCATCATATGAAATAATGTTAAAATAGATATGATTAACTCTATTTTAAAATATTTCATTAAAACATTGATCAAACGTTTTACATATTATTATGGCATAATATCTAGTAGTTATTAAAAAAAAAATTACCTAGGTATTGTTATCATTATAAATAATTACTTTATGATATTGACTATAGAATGTATTGTAGTTGACTTTTGTGTTTGCAGTTTTTTTACTTTCAGGATGAAAATAAATACTTGAATTTACAGGAGGAAGAAAAAATGTAACAACAAATGCTATAATTGAACCTGAAATACAATTTTAAAGTAAATAACTAAATTTTAATTATAACTTAAATAGGTTAATTGTATACATTTCTTACCCGCTAATGAAATATACACGAGTAACCCATATTCCAAGTGTAAAAATGAAACTGCGATTTGAGCAAATGTGGATGATAAACACTTCCCCAGAAGATTGGAGCCTCTAACGATTCCGGTCATTTTTTGATATAACCTACGGTCACGAATCTTTGCATACGCGTATGACATGTACGCTAGTTCAGATGCAGACGTTAGACCCAAAAATACCATACTTAGCTAAAAATATATAATATTTATTTATGCATTCATTTTTCTATCCAAAATTATTTTTAAAATGTCCAAAAACTATTCACACGACAATTTCTCACTGTCTCACTGTCTCAAATATATGATTATTATTAAAAAAAGATAAACCAGTATTATTATGACAGTTATACTTAACCTTACATTTATTACTATAACTCCTTGTTGAGTTACGAAAATTCACTTAAGTTGAAAATGCGTTCATAACCTATACGATATCTAAACTTACTTTGGATTTGAAAAGAGTAACAGGCTCCAAAACTAATAAAAACATCACAATTGAACTTAATGCGTCCAACATTACAATTGGTCTGTAGAGAACATAGTCTGTGACAAGAAACATAATAATTACTAGACTTGTAGTTGCGTACGAATTTATTGGATAAATATCTTCGGTTACCTAAAAAAATATATATATATTATATTCATAGTATTATTATAAATTATTAGAACCTACTTAATGCAAAAGTATTTGCTTAAAAGATTAGTTGGTGAATAGTGTCATATCAATGTTTAAACATTTAAAAAGATATCTGGTATATTAGAATTATAAGATAAAAATATCTCACATATCATTCAAATAAACAAAAACGAATCATGTGTGACATTTTTAGCTGCCAATTGGAGTTGAAATAATTTATAATTTATATACCCCGTTCCATGTATTAAGGAACTTATTGATATAACTTTTAACAAAAAAGGTCCAGCCGTTCTCCAGTAATACGACTACCAATAAATATCACTTAGCTTGTATTTATATAGATTCTAATGAAGAATGATGAACTCAAATTTTATCATTTTTGTCATCCTAGCATACATGTATAAGTAATCAAATTTAATAATATTATTAAAAACACGATTGAATATCAAGTATTGTAAACAATTAAAAATTTAAACGGTCTTTAAAAATTAACGATACTGTAAGTCAACCTTTTTTTTAATAAAGGTCTAAAAACTTGTTGAGAATTTACTATTAAAATTTCTCATGTTGGCTCTAAAAATAAAAATAAATGTATTCATTTCCAACTAAAAAATTACTTGTGAATTTTCAGAATTGAGATTAATTTTTTCAACATTTGAACTTTAAAGTTTAAATGCATATACAAAATAACCATGCGTCCATGCCTATTCAATATTTTAGAACTGCTATTTAAACAACTTTTGAGGACCTTTGAATTAAATTTTCAATCTTTTTTACCAATTAATTTTTTCAGAAATTGGTGAAATCCTGAATGTTTAATGATGATTTCCTAGTATAATATCACACATAGTATTATGCAATGTGCCAATGTATCTCATAATAGTTTCAATTAATATTGTTCCCTTGCAATAGTAATAGAGTATGGTAGGTACAATATACGTTTGAGTATAAGGATTCAAATAGTGCATTTTGATTTCTACAACCTCAAGATCAGTGGTGAGTAACCTAGTGGCCGTGAAAATTTTATTAGGGGGGACGCCAATAATTTTACACCAAATTAAAAAGTTATTTACTAAATATGTTATTTTATATAGATTTTATATAATTCTAATTGTGTATTTTTTTTCATGTTTTGGATTAATTAAATTAAAGAAATATTAAAATTAACGATTCAATTTATATGAATAATATGTTTGTATACATTAAGACTACGAAGTAAATAACAATACACTTACATAATGTTATAGGAAGGGGGAGGGGTCGTATTGTCAAAATAAATCAATTTGGGGGTCGTGGATCAAAAAAGGTTGCTCACTATTGCTCTAGACAACGGTTTTAAAAATCTAGACAATTTTTATAGGCAAGATGATAGTGACAGACTGATAGAAGCGAAAAATTCTCCATCCGATAAATTAGTGAGATGATTTCCCACTGATAATGGTAATATATAAACCCAGATATGATATTTGGTACTTTTATGTTAAATTACTAATAATTATATTTATTTTGAGTTTTATATGCAAAACAAAATTTGCAGTAAGTTTTAAAATCCACACATTACAACAATGACTTTATAAAGTTTTATTTTACTAATCGTAAAATAAAATATCTTGATTAGGTAGTTAAGAATATTATTTTTAATAATAAATTATATCAAAATATTACTAGCTAAGCTCAGAAAATTATTATAAAAATAATGAATTAGTTTAAAATGGCGTATTAGTTTCATTAAACTTATACTTTATTTGTTTTAACTTTTATTACAATATGAAAATGAAAAACTAATATTATATAAAGTAAAAAAAAGTGTGTTTTAAAACCACAATTGTTATTGTAAAAATAATAAAGCATAAGTTATACTAAAACTTACTTGCTCAGTAGTAAAATTTACGGCTGGGCTGGTTAAATATGATGTATAAAATGAATCCACTGGTCGAAAGTCCCGAAAAGTTGCAAACAAACTTACACATAGTGATATTTTCAACCACTCTTCCATTTTATCCGGTTCTTCAAATATTTTATTTCGAAAATGCAATTTTCCTGCCATAATAAGAATTAATAATACATAATAAAATAAAGTAAACATGGAGTATATTTTTATATTCTATGTATATAGGCAAAAAAATACACAGTTTTGATAAATAATTTGATTAAAAATATCATTGTTCTCATATTTTTAATAATAGTGTATATAATGTCCTTATGCAAAAAATTCTAGTGTTTAAATGAATTTAAATAATTTAATAAAAAATAATTTAATTTGTCAGTCTGCTATTAAATTTAAAAAAAAGGAAACAGCAAAAGAATACGTTTAAATAAGTGAATATTTTACACCGTTTTCGGCTACACAATTGAATGTTATATATTATTTGATTTATGCAATTATAAAAACAAACAACTTGTTAAAAGATATAATATTGAGCATTAGTATCTATTATGATAATAACCGTTTATAGCCTTATAGGTGTAACTTGTAATTAATAGTATTATGTTAACGAAATATGAAGCGACTTGTTGGCATAATATTTTGTCATACAAATATACTGCTTCAATTAAAATGAAATAAAACATCTTAGTTAAATACCTGATTTTCGCCGAATGTACTGGATTTTGAAATTTCAAATTAATTACCTACTTTAATTACAATAAGTACTGTTTAATATTTAATGTAAAATAATCCTTTTGCATCAAAAACTCACGTTGCATTTAAAGTTAACAATGAAAAACAAATAGGGAACTATACTTAATTAAAAGCCGGTACAACAATACGAATATAACTGTAATCAATCAAATGAAAATCGTTTATGGTTCCGTCGCCGAGCAATTCAGCAGTACATTTTATGCCGGTAACTCGGACTGGCTGGCTGCAGAGCTATTGGTGGACGCATGCTACACGAAGGTCAGCCGGTTTAAAATTATGTAATCACTAAAAAGAGATTAGTAGAAAATAAAAATAAAACATCAACCGTATGAACTCTATAAAGAATTCAGTACAGACGTATAATTATACACTACAAGTGGCTAGTATTCGATTCACAAAAAAATAATATGTTGTATTTTGGAGTTGCAAGCTAATCAATCAAGTTTAGACGATTTTATGTACGATATTTATTAATATCAGGTAAACCTTCCATAGTCAGATAAATGTATTATTTGTATTTTATACTATAGTAGTACTGTACTGGTGCTTATTTTGTTGGGGATTATGATTATACACTAACCATAACTCACTTTGTAATAATACAATTTTAAAAAACCAAATTGAACATTTTTAAATGTATCATGAAAAAATTGTGCTACAGTTTGGTGTATGTTAATTTGAAACGTGGCTTAAACACTGTATTCTAAGAATAAAAAAATATTGATTACTGATGAGAGAAACCACTACTGAATATGAATTGAACTGGTCCATAATTATATTCATACATTGTTTAAAAAATAACATTGGCTGTAGACTATAAGAAATCGATAATCATCATATTTTATACTTCTCAATAAAACAATGCGTCGTTTAACACTGCTTCTAATAATTAATTAATTAAATTAAAATTTATGTTTAAATAATGAAAAAAAAACTATTAATTATGATGATGTTTTTAAACTGAATGATAAGAAGTAAAATGTACATACATAATATTTCCTGCTAATATTAATCATATAAATATCATCAATAAAGTTCAACTAATTGATAGAACAGCACATTTAACATATTATCTATAAAAAAATGTGTTAGTACTAAAATATATTTTTTTTGTAATTCATAAATTAATTTATCTCTAATAAGTTGAACAGTTTTCAAAGTCTATCAGCTGTTATTTCTTTCTTTATATTATTATTTTTTAAATGAAAAACTGAATGTGCCTCTAAATTATTTTATACATTCCATAATCATTATGATATTATTTATTATATTCGTGATCTTAATATTATACTAAATATTTAATCAACGGTATTACAGTACTATATAAATATATATATATATATATATTAAATCACATAAATATTTATTCATCCAAACATCATATTATATTTTTTACTTATCGAATCATTGTAATTGGAAAAGAATTATGATTTCTACGTTTTGGTATTATCAATATTTTTTTATTTATTATTTTTACCGTAACATTAAAAATGTTTTATAATACATTAATACTATAATATTACGGTAACTTAAGTCCAGATTTTATCATCTTACGACACCTAAAATATGACGCTAATATTCTGTAAAAAACTTACAAATATTCTCCTTATATTCTATTCAAAAATTGAAAAATATGCAAAAATAGTCAATTAACCTCATTGTATATATTTTTTTTATATTAGTCAGATGTAAACTTTCTAGTAAAAGGATTCCAATATAGTCTATAGAATAGTTAAAATAGTTGAATGATTCTATCCATTGTTTTAAAATGTGTTTTTAATTTAATGGTTTCCTTTATTTTATTATTTTTAAAATTAAAACATGCGACACCAAGTCACCAAACCAAAATATAGGTACTTGGACTTTTGATAAACAAAACGCGTTATAATATGATGTCAGTATAGGTTAGATAAACTAATGCATAACTGCACATTACGATCACTGTGTTTTTTTTCATCAAATTTATTTTTAAAAAAATTGTAGTTAGTATAATACTTTTTTCGGGTATGGTTATATTAAAATTAATGACAATAATTTTAAATATAAAATAAATTAGTATGTTTTCTCATCATTTACAAATTATGCTAAATAATTTAATATTCCCTAATCCATGAAGTATTCTCATATAATATGCAAAAAAACTTTATGATCACCGTGTTATATGAAATGTGTCCACTTTTGTATTCCCATATAAGACTGCGTAAACTAAATAACGATATGTAAAACACATAAATCTGGACTTCAATGATAACGAAAAATCAATTTATTTATTTATACTGATATGACCACATTTCAATATTATAAGTAATGGCTAACCCAATTAGAATCGAACACCAAAGTATAGGTCTAGTATATATGGACCTTATGCTTAAGCAACCCATTTCAAAACCAGCTTTATTATTTAGCCTTTAATAATTCTTATTGGAAATTTAAATATTGACTTGACAATTGTGTAGCTTCATATATCACGCTGTATACAAATTGACTTTATATCATACCTAAATATCTATATATGATTAAAAATCCAGCTGGTACTACAAACAAAAGTGACATAACAAAACATAATCGCTCGGTACTATATTCCGTTGCTTTGCTATAATTTTTCGTTCAGTAATGTGGCATTTATAATAATTTAGTATTAATGATGCATTGTAGTCTTCTTAGTAGAAAAAAACTCACCCCAAATAAAAACTAAACTTTTAGGGAAAAAATCTTAATTGATTAATAACTTTTGTATTTGGTTATGTCAATTTTTAGTAATACAAATATAAGTAGCCAATGTTGTAGATCAATTATAATTAAAATTTACTTTACTTTATTATATATACGATATGTATCTATAATGTACTATTTACATATAATAACTGCAGTGTTGAAATAGTATTATTTTTCTGCCCATTTTCAAATTATTATTTTTATTCAATTTATCTTGAATTGAAAATAGTTAAAAGTATATTATAATGGTAGGTACAGAATGTAAATTTTAGAATTTTATTTTCTGAAAAAAATACACAGAATGCTCATGTTTCTCTAAGGTATTAATTTTGTCGTAATTCATATTTACACTGCAATCACTTAACTTGAACAACACTCATATTATTAATAAAAAAATCTGATTTTTGGAAAACCAAAGAAGGGATCTATATCTTAGGCATCCGAAATCCAAAAAATAATAGAACCATGGAATCAACATGGTACTTAAATTATGTACATAGCTTTGGTATCGAACAAATATACATTTTATCACAACACAAATGCAAATTGCAACTATTACTATATTAAATTGAAACCAAGTAAATCAAATTAACATTACTTCTTACAACCATACTGATGTAATATAACTTCCATTCAGAGTCTGGTCAAATCGATATTTCTACCAACTTGTTTTACAACTACATTATGAGTTTTATTTTAGATACGAAAGAATAACTGATAAAGATCATTAATTTATAGTAAATTATTGGTTATTATTTTGGTTTTTATTTGATGAAAGGCCAAGATGTTGCAGTCAATCATTTAACACATTTATCATAATTAATTAGTGTAATATGACGGGCAATTATATAAGTGTTAATAATTTAATCTTTAACTTATTAAAAATGCAATACATATTGAAATCTTTAAGATCTTTTCACAGTTTTTTGTTTTGTTTTAAGAAAGTAATTCAGCTGTAACATGTCTAACCTTACATTCAAATAATATGTAAATACAGTGTAACTAACAGCCATTGCCACCAAAGTGGTAAAAATAGATAGCACAAATATTATAAGTGTTTGGAAATAACAAAATGTTCTTTGTGCATATTTCACATATTTTATCATTGAGATAGATCGTAGCAGCGTTAGTGTGAGTTAGGATAATAGCACGATAGCATGCTATAAATAAATGTCCATATCCGTACAAAGAACGTGTGAATAATAAAGGGAACATAATGCCTGAAAATTATCCTCGAAACTTAATCATCTGGGGAGGGGGGCTGGAGAGAGAGACTGACGACGCATTTTGACGTTCAGAAAATTATTAGTCTCGGAAGCCCACTAACGCACTAGACTCGTTCGGCAGGAATTTTGTTACACTTCATTGCACACTACTGCATTAACACATATTCGCCGACGATGAATCGTCGGTTTTTGATCGAGGATCGAACGATGGATAATGTGTCGGCAAGTTAGTGTTTTCCAGTTTCTTACACGAGTGACTCTGATAGACGACTGAAAATATCGAGTTACCCGAATATTTATACCACGGCAAAGGTGGCAAATTGTATGCATAAATCGGTGTGACCGCCATCCACTGTTCACTGTATTGTTTACGTTATTCGTGAACGGGTAATCGTGATATTATTTTCAGTTTGTCGGTGTGGTGTAGACAACAGTGGCCACCCAGGAGTGTCTTCTTATCGCCGTTCTATTGACAATGGTCTTGCCACAAAACCTATGTGAGTACATATAAAGCGTTCTCATTACCAAAGATAACGTGTCGATGAAACAAATATTATACCTAAACGTAATTAAATTAAATGATGAACCAGACTCATCGCTGCCAGACTTCCAGCTGGACATTACGAAACTTCATTTTTTGCTATTTTTTTATCTTGTTGTTATTCACCGACCGTGTAATGACGAACTAAGAAGAACTGTGTACTAAGAGCATTTTCATAATATTTCTTGATAACAAAATTTATTTATTTTTCTTTGTTGAGTTTCGTTTCCCTTGGTATTTAATTAAATAATGCTCATAAATACATCTCTGAATGCAAATAATTGTTTTTATGGTTTAATTTATTATGAGATATTTTTACTAGAGCAGAATAATATTTAAATTAGTCCAGAAATAAAAGTTAAACTATTGACAAACGCCATCTATGAGACAATTCATACTGCTGTAAACAAATGTATAGAATAGTATGTTCTAACTAATTTTAAAGGCAGATAGAGCAGTCAATTTATAAATGTTATTTAATAAACATTTTTTTCACAGAAAATATAATATAGTTATCACAATAAAATATAAAAACAATCACATATTTCAAAGATTATAAATGTACATAAAACTGTCAAAAATAAACGAATAAACATTTGATTTAAGAATTAAAATTATTGTTTAAGGAATACAAAATAATAACGAAAATTATTTTTACATTTTCATACATCCATTAAAACGCATTTGTTTTTCAAGTTATGAATAATAAATTATAATTTATAAAATTGTTCAGCATTTAAATAATAAAAATA